TTTAAAGGAAAAAGAAACAAGAGTACAGTGTACTTAAAAAATAAAATCTATAATTATAGCTTTATCTTAAAGTTGTCCTCTAACAATTACAAGAAGTCATAAAAAAAAATTTGAAATTAACTTGCTCATTTTGCAATAGCATCAAATTATTAACTTGAGCATAACAATTAATTTAATAAAACAACAATCTCAAACATTCAACGTTTTCTTACATTTCACTATAGTTCCAGTAAACACATTTTGGTTTTCCAAATAAAGAGAGCTGTAATTTTAAAAACAGATCATATCATATATCATCATGATAATAATATTATGTTTTATCAGATGACTAGGTGCATCAGATAATAAGAAAGTACATTATAAAGATAAACTATGGCTTTTACCGGCGAGTATAGTTTTTTTTTTTTCAAAATATATTCAGTGAATGAGTTTTAATAGATTTAAATAATTATCCAATGGTGGTAATTTGGATTGTGTTATATAAATATTCTGTCTACTTTAGCCCAACTATTTGTTTTTCATTTAGTGTATATAATACAACTAACAATATTATTTCACTGCCCATAGAGACATGCCTAGACAATGTAATGAACTTAAGCAAATGGGTTGGTAGCCTTAGCTTAAATATCAATAATTTTATTTTTTTCTCTTTTTTGGTGAACCACCACTTTCATTTATCATAAATTGCAATATTACAATATCAGTTACATAAACAAACATCAATACAGACATTTCTTAACTATTGATATTGTAATTATGTATGTAGATCAACATAGCTTATTGATCGAGGAAACACGATTTGCATTGGTATGCCAATATTGTAGCCGTAAAATTTAAACCAAAACTTCTGAAAATACGTGTGCAAACAGATGATCTATGGTAGAGCGATTGTTGAGTTTTTGGCTGTGAAACCGTAAGAGAGAACCATAGAGCCCAGAAGTTTGTAGATGTTATTAAAACTATTTACAGATGGGGCTAAGTGTAGTTGCACAAGTAGGTATACAGTAAAAGAGATATCTGCCAAAAGTTATGATATTTATTTTATCTAAAATAGACAGTAAGAGTGTTTGAAGGTACAAACATTTTTTTTTTTTTTTTTTTTTTTTTAGTGTGTGCTGTCATTTTCATAAAATACTTACTGACAAAATTGAGAATCATAGATTGGATAACAATAATAATAATAATAACATTAATAATCATAAGTTTCTTACATTTAGACGAGTAAGACAAAACTCGACTGTCTGGTTATCCTCAAATTCTGTAAACGGATGATCACCAAATCGTAAAGATGCGCCGATTACATGCGAATCTAATACCAATTTCGTCGTATTCACCCTTGAGTCCACTGTACCATTATAACTTTCCGTTGCATTATCGTTGGCCATACTATCAAAAGTGAATTCAATACTATAAATCTACTTACATTGCCAAAAACCTAATCTTATAATCAATATAGGACTAGCAGGCCTAGAGTTACAAATCGTTTATTTGTTATTACTTCATTCATTAGTTATAGCTGTTACGATATTATATTGTATGGATTTTATATCTGAAATTAATTAATGAGTGGATGGATGAATGAATGAACAAACGAACGACAGACGAACGAATGGATGGAATTGAATGAATAAATAAATAAATATACCGTAATAATTAATTAATTAATTATCCGTAATAAAAGAATTGAATAAATAAAATAAATAAGGCATATACTGTATGCAGATAAAAGAATTTATCATTAAATATCAATGTTATATATATCATTTTCCTCAATGCCTATTTAATAACAAAAAACTCACCTATTTATATCGTCATTGTGGTCAGAATGTAGAAATTTTCCGAGTGTCTTGTACGCTACGAACATTATTTTCAATTTTTCTGTAATTATTTTGAACATTGCGTCATTTAGAAATAAATTATCAAAGTATCGGGCAGTGAATGACTTATAACTTCTGGCAGCAAGTGATGTTCTCTCTACACATGAAGGAACGATTTGCTCCGTTAGAACCTACGCTGCCAAGGCTTGTGGAGTCAAATTATTTTTAGTCATGAGCAAGTAACAAGAGTTTGCAATTTGAAGGTAAGAACACCAAGCTAACCAACTAAATAAATAGGCCTAGTTCAACTTTCTTTCAAAAAAGACTGAATAATCTTTTTTTAAGCTAGACTTACCGGGAAAAGAAGCAATATTGTATACATATTATTTTAATTATGACTACTACTAAATTAAGCATATACAATAATTGGTAGATTTGCAACTTAACGGACGAGGTAGAATGAATTTCACCTTTGGTAAGGCCGAGTGAACTCGTTTCTACAGTTGCCATAAATTCAGAACCTGAAAACAAAATGAGAACACGCTGTATCATTTTATGGTATACGGTACAATCGATAAGGTTCATGGTGTATTGCATCTTCATGATGGTATAAGAAATTGAAGCTCTCCCTCCGCGATATGAAGTTCCATGTGCCATAGGCCTATATCTGGTTTATTATGTGGGCAGATCACATACATTCGTCATAGAATAGTGTTAACATAGCATTATATTGATCCCAATTGATATAGTTGCTATAGCACTTGTGTACTTTGTATCAGTACGGCATGATCGAGATAGCATGCACCCTATTTTGAATAACCCTAGGATCAAAGCAAATTTAATCATCCTTACCAACCGAAACTGTAGATTGTTCAGTTGCATCTTCCGGTCCTGAAAACAAACCAAAATATTAGAATAAGATTGTTTAAAATGACTAAAGATTTATTAATATTAAATAAATCAATCACCAGTCTTTCGTTCACGATACCGTAATTACGCCTACATTAGTAGATTTAGCGCAGCAGCCTATGAGCAATTTGATCACTCAAGTACAGTATAGTGTTACATTATCACTAACGTCGAGAGGGTGGTGTTGACAGGGAAAGTGCCCCGGGGCCTTGGCCTTACTGGGGGCCCGGCATAAAAAAAATTGCAGTTTTCTCAAAATCTATTTTTTCTAAATAAAGTGGCATTAACAAACACAAAGATTTTGTTTGAGATCCGTAGGTGCCACAAACACAATACAACCGGATAATGGCAGGATTAAAAAACTGGTTTTATTCTGTGTAAACTCCAAGGATAGCCCAGGAAAGTCTAGAAGAAGACTTATTTCCAGTGGGGTTCTTCTGGTGGTGATTGGACAGTACACCGGGAGACAATCTCCTACTCTTTTCCGAAGAGTGTACTGTGTTTTTTAAAGTGCACATGGGCAATAAATGCACACGGGACCAACGGCTTAAACGTCTCATCCGAAAGACGGTGCGCTATTGTAACTTGTATTCAGCCCTCTAGCTGAAACACAAGGAAAGGCAGCGATGGGAATTAAGCCGGGGACCTAGAGACCTCCACAGTTCAGCGCACATACAGTGGCTACCACCAGATTAGCCGACTGAGCTAAGCTGCTCTCTAATCGTCTAATTTCGAGAAAAACTAATAGCGTGAACTATACCATTTAGACTATTTTTCACCAGTCGTTTTTCTACTGATCCTTATATTATGGTACCCAATGATCATCAAAATATCGATAATGTTTGAAATAACCTTGCTCAACAACATTTTCATAGAACTGTTGTGAATTTATGCCCGAACTAATGAAAGTGATAGTGAATTGTTCATGACTATTTTTACTAGTCGATTCTTACGTTATGGTACCCAAGGATAATGAGAATAGCGATTATGTTTGAATTAGGCTAACCTCATTTAACATCTATTTCATAGAATTGAGTGTTGTGAATAATAGCATAATCAAGCATATAAGGAATTATTTGGATATTGGCTAAATTAACATTATTTAACCTTAAAATAGGCAGGGGTGGTGCCAGGAATTGCACGACGGGGGGGGGGGGGGGGGGGGGGGTGCGATGTCCCCGACGGGTGGGCCGATGTTCCTGAAGAGAGCAAGGTGAGCGTGGTCGGGCTCGCTCAGAATTATTCGGAAGTAAGTGGTCCAGGGGCGAAAAAAAATACAATTTAGGGGTTTCAAAGGCTTATGTTTAATCTATTTTGTAGATAGAATCTACTATTAAGTAGAAAATACATACAATATTTATATTCCACGACAAATTGTGGTTTATCTCCCCGACAGGGGGGGCTCTCCCCGACGAGGGACCGGGCTCGCTCAGAATTATTCGGAAGTAAGTGGTCCAGGGGCGAAAAAAAATACAATTTAGGGGTTTCAAAGGCTTATGTTTAATCTATTTTGTAGATAGAATCTACTATTAAGTAGAAAATACATATATTATTGGACTATTTTCTCTCTAGTTGTTTCTATGTGTATCATAACCAAGTATTGAATATTCAATATTTTGAATATTGAATATTCAAATTATTGAGTATTCAGCTACCCCACCTTTAAGTGGGAGCAGCTAGAAGAAGAAGAAGAAGATAACAAAGTATTGAATATTCATGTTCTTACCATCAGTCATTGTAAGCAGGGTGGTCGTCTGTTTTTCTGTGAGTCGTGGTAATTTCAGATAGGAGCAGCTACTCTTATCTCCTAAGGATACTACGTAATGTTCCTCATTATCCTCTTCAGTGTCATTGGACTTATCATTAATGTCGACAGCTCTAACTTTCATATCTAAATGTAGATAGAATTGCTAATTTCTCAAGTGGCGGGTCAAGAAAATCGAAATACATATAATTTATAATTCATAATTCAAATATATATATATATATATATATATATAT